GCTCCGCGCTGCTCGGCGCTGCTCGGCGCTCTGCGCCCACAGGTGAGGCCCCGCCGCCGAGGCCGCCTCCCCCGACGAGGGTGTGGGCGGTCCTGGGTGGGCGAGTGCGCATGCGCGAGCGAGGGTGGGCGGCAGCGACCGTGTGGTTCAGGTGCTGCTTGCCGGACCCGCGCCCTCCAGGAAGCCTGCGCTGACCACTGTGCCCCTGCTTTTCCTTCGAGTTCCTGTGACTTTCCCTGTGCTGCCCGCTCGTTGTAATTGCATTTCTGACTGATACTGGTTATCCCAGAATTTCATCGTTCCTAGGCTTTTCCCATTCATTTGCAGTCTGTATTGTTTCTAATGGCATCTTTTGCAGGGTGCGGTGTACCTGTGGCGACAGCTCTGCTTAGGAGACAGATTCGTGTCCCCCGCCGTGCTTGCCCTTCTCTGCGGCATTGGACCTGGGCATCTCTCCTCCCTGTTTGTCAGTCAAAGGGGGCGGGAGGCGGAGGTAGCCGAGCACCCCATCGAGTAGCCGGGGCGTTACAGGGGACTCGTTCTAGAAGTAAGAGTATCTTATTGTTGTAAGCAGGTTAGGGTTTGCAGAGAGGTTCTTTGTTCACAAAAACATGTAATGAGCACATTTCAGTGCTGGGTTGTGGCAATTACGAAGAGATTGGTCTTGCTCTGAGCCCATGGAATTACAAGCACGGCTAAATAGTTGCCGTAGAGCATGGCACTGTCTCCCAGTGGGGTGCGGAGATAGATGGTGGCGATCCCGCTGTGCGGAAGTCCTCATTGACACTATTATTATTATTTTTTCTTTAAAGATGGTACTGTTCCCATTGCAAGGAAGACTAGCTGGAAAGGAACCGAAATGCCCTAGAATCCTGACCTAGCTGGGACTTTGTTGAAAGTGATAGTGACCAAAGTGTTTGGGGGTAGTGGGGATGGGGACAGAGAGGGCTCTCATTTTCTGAGACTGGACCCAGAAAAGTGCATTCACTCTATGAATGTAACTTCTTCCCTCTGCTTGCTGTTTCTCCTGAAAGGTTGTCCTGGCTTTTGTCAGGGAGTAGGCATAACTCCGGGAAGTGAAAGGCCTTTTGGCAAAGTTCTGTTCTCCTGAGGTTGTGGGTACGGATATTCCGGAGATGCTCCCTCACTCAGTGGGGATCCGCTAAACTCCAGATCTCCTAATTCAGGCCCCCGGAAAAACTGTGGAAGTCTGGGGGTGTTTGTGTACCGCTTTCTCTCGCCTGCTGCTCTGACAGCCTCTGTAGGGCTGGGCCATGCCTGATTCACTGCTTGGCACAAACCCTTGTTTGATTGTATGTGGAGGGAATCCACCTCTTTATTTTTGTTAATTCATCAAATATTGATGAGCACCTGCCATTATTAGATGCTATTCTGGATGATGGGGGTTCAGTAGGCAATAATGCAGAACAACATTTTTGCTCTCCTGACGTGAGATATGTGTGTCAAAGACAGGTAATCACCAGGGAACCAAATACGTGAACTAGATCAGTTCTTCTCAGATTTGAGCAAGGGTAAGAATCTCACCCGAGAGCTTGTTAAGATAGAGATTCCTGGGCCCCGCTCCCAAAGAGTCTGAGAGTGTGCATCTGTGTAGGGGTTGGGGGAAGCGCAAGAGTTTCTTTGTTTGTTTGTTTAAGATTTTATTTATTTAGTTGAGAGAGACAGAGACAGGGAGAGAGAACAGGAGCAGGGAGGAGAGGGAGAAGCAGGCTCCTCACTGAGCTGGGAGCCCAGTGTGGGACTTGATCCCAGGGCCCTGGGATCATGACCTGAGCCAAAGGCAGGCGCTTAACAGACTGAGCCACCCAGGCACCCAAGAATTTGTATTTCTAACGAGCTCCAGGTGATGCTGGTGCTGTGGGTTGATGGGCCATGCTTTGAGTTGGCGCTGGACTAAACAGTCGTGCGCAGCCTGAGTGCCCTGGAGAAGTAAAGTGTGATGAGTGGGGAGCAGTGAGCTTGGCATTGGGAAAGCCTCTCTGAAGAGCTGACCTTTGAGAAGGGGCCAGATGTGGGGGAGAACAAAGCCTTAAGACAGGATGAGGTGGGCGCCTGGGTGGCTCAGTTGGTTAAGGGACTGCCTTCAGCTCAGGTCATGATCCTGGAGTCCCAGGATCAAGTCCCGCATTGGGCTCCCTGCTCAGCAGGGAGTCTGCTTCTCCCTCTGACCCTCCTCCCTCTCGTGCTCTGTCTCTCATTCTCTCTCTCTCAAATAAATAAATAAAATCTTTAAGACAGGATGAGGCTTGGTGGGTGTGAGGAGCTGAAAGGCGGCCCGGAGCTGAAGAGGGCTGTTGGGTGGGGAGGGTGCAGGAGACGAAGCCCTAGAGGTGATGGGGAGCCCTGATCATGTGGGGTCCACCTTGTAGGTAATGGGCAGACTGATGGTTTTATTCTGGGGGCAATGGAAGCTCCTGGAGGCTTATGAGCAGGGTGACATGATTTGCTTTGTGCGTGTGAGAGGGTCAGTCTGCTGCTAGACAAAGAATGGGTGCCGTGGGATGAGGATGGCGCTAAGGAAACCAGCGGAGTCTGCTGTGGTCGTCCAGGATTATGGGGACGCTGGGGAGAGACACAGATAGATCTGGAATCTTCTGGAGTAGACCTGGCACAATCTGCTGCTAGATGAATTAATAGTCACTTCTCCCTCAGGACCACAGTTGAGCTTTGTTGGATTGTTAAGGCACCTTGCTGCCGGGGCTTCCAGCTTGTTAAATGACTGTCTTGTCCCCCTGGATCAAGACTGTTCACGAGCACCTCGTCCCAGGTGGCTTCACGTCTCTTGTCGCCAAGTGGGTGGGTGAGAAGCTAGACTGTCGAAGCACAAACACCGAGGGCCATCCCCGTGGAAACCTGTCCTCAAGCTTATGAAGGTCCCGCCCACCAGCCCCAGGAAGGGGACCCACATCACGTTCTGAACATAGCCAGCTGCCTGCTTTGAGAATGCCTTTCCCCGGCTGACGGACCTCAGGTGGTGACAGCCCACTGGGATTCGAGCACAGTCAGCATGACAGCACACAACTAACTCTGTTTCTCTAGGTTAGGTTTTATGATGCTCAGTTTTGGTTTTTTAACTTTTTTTTCAAATTTTTATTTATTCTAGTTTGTTAACATACAGTGTAATATTGGGTGCAGGAGTAGAATTCAGTGGCTCATCAGTTACATACAACACCCAGTGCTCATCACAAGTGCCCTCCTTCATCCCCATCACCCATCTAGCCTGTCCCCTACCTCCCTCCAGCAACCCTCAGTGTGTCTCCATTGTTAAGAGCTCTTATGGTTTGTTTCCCTCTCTCTTTTCTCCCCCTTCCTGTATGTTCACCTGGTTTGTTGTTGTTGTTCACTTGTTTTGTTTCTTAAATTCCACATATGAGTGAAATCATATAGTATTTGTCCTTCTCTGACTGACTTATTTTGCTTAGCATAATACCCTCCAGTTCCATCCACATTGTTGCAAGTGGCAAGCTTTCATTATTTGGCAGAGAGAGAGAGAGAGAGTACAAGCAGGGGAGGGGCAGGCAGAGGGAGAGGCAGGCAGAGGGAGAAGCAGGCTCTCTGCTGAGCAGAGAGCCTGACATGGGGCTTGATCCCAGGACAGGACCCTGGATCTTGATCTGAGCTGAAAGCAGACGCTTAACCGACTGAGCCACCCAGGCGCCCCATATCCCACATCTTCTTTATTCCTTCATGTAATGCTGAGTTTTGAAAGTAGTTGACTGAGGGCAGCTGGTTGGCTCAGTCGGTTAAGCATCTGCCTATGGCTCAGTTCATGATCTCAGGATCCTGGGATGGAGCCCCCGCATGGGGCCCCCTGCTCAGCGGGGGAGTCTGCTTCTCCCTCTCCCTCTATGCCCCCCCTCAAATTAATAAATAAAATCTTAAAAAAAAGGAAAAGAAAGTAGGTGACCAAATGGCTTAACATTCAGTTCACGTGAACCCCATTAGAGCGGTAACCTACCAAGTTCATTACTTGGTACTGCTAACCTCACTTTTCCCCCCCGCCCTGTTTTAGGAGGAAATAACAGGAGAATAAGCTGACATCAGGTATTTCTTTATTGATTTTTCTAAGGGAAAGGGCTTAGTATTTCTTAGGGTTGGGAAGGAGTCAGCCCTGGCTTCTGTGCTGTGGGGATGGGCTAGCTGGTTCCTTTGTCTGTTCTGCAGACCATTTCTGAGCCCCCTCGCTGTGCCTGGCTCTGGCTGGGTGCTGGGGGACAGAGGCCGATCAGCCCACCCCCTGCCCTGCGGGGTAAACGGACAGTTGACAGAGTGTGGAAGGGAGGCAGCGTGGGTGCCCACAGGCTGCAGTCTGTGCTCTGCCTGTTACTCTTTGAGCCCCACTTTCTCCATGTGTAAATGAGGAGAATACCTGCCTACCGGCAGCATGTGAGCCGAAGGGATGTATGTAGCAGAGAAGAATATGCACAGACTGCCCCGCCCTGTGCCTGACGGATCCTAGTGCTTCATATAAGTGGTAGCTGTTGTTTGGGGTGGTAGTAGAAATATGGAATTACATCCTCCTCGAGGGCGGGGCTGGACTACAGCACGGGGCCAGGAGCCGGGCAGGCCCACTGTAAGTAGGGGCTGAAGTGGAGGAGTGTGCGGGGCTGAATCGGGGAGAGCTTCAGGGCACCTTGGGGAAAGCTGATGTGCTTGTTTCAAGTCCACTGTGGTGCACCACGACCACACCTGCCTGACCTTGCAGTAATCTCAGCCCTACTGTGGAGGCCCTGTGGCTCTCATTCCCATTTTTTTCCATGCGGGAAACGGAGGCCCCAAGAAAACTCTCGAGTTCCCACGGACGTGTGAGCAGGGGAAATGAACGAGTCTCCAAGCTTCAGGTGCGGAGTAACTGCTGTCCCTCCTTTGGCTCTGCTTAGGCTGCCTTGTCATTGGTTCTCAGTGCTGGTTATCATGCTGGTTTGGTGCTTTTCTGGAAAGAGGTCCTTTGTCTCTTTAAAGGAGAGGTGGCCTTAGTTCATTTCTTTTTCTTCTTTTTTTTAATCATAAATAGCTGTTGGGGTGCCTGGGTGTCTCAGTCGTTGAGCGTCTGCCTTCAGCTCAGGTCATGATCCCAGGGTCCTGGGATCGAGCCCCACATCGGGCTCCCTGCTCGGCGGGGGGCCTGCTTCTCCCTCTCCCACTCCCCCTCCTTGTGTGCCCTCTCTCGCTGTGTCTCTCTCTGTCAAATAAATAAATAAAATCTTAAAAAAAAATCATAAATAGCTGTTTTGTCCTTTTGCTCATCACTTTACTGTGCTGTCTCCCACATATATATTTAAAACTCTTTATGGGTGTAAATTTCTTCTTTTTCTTCTCGTGCCTAGGATGGTTATATCTTGTATTAGTTTCCTGGAGCTGTACTATAAAAAGTGCCATGAAGTGGGTGGCTCAGTGAGGCCAGAAGTCTGAAGTCAAGGTGTTGGCGGAGCCATGCTCTCTCCGAAGAATCTAGGGAGGAGTCCTTGTCTCTTCTACCTTGTGGTGGACCCAGACTTTTCTTGGCTTGTGGCTGCATAGCTCTCATCTCTGCCTTCATGTTCACGTGACCACCTTCCCTGTGTGTCTATGTGTCCCTGCGTCTAGATTTCCTTCTTCTTTTTTTTTTTTTTAAGTAATCTGTATGCCCAGTGTAGGACTTGAACTCATGACCCTGAGATCAGGAGTCACATGCTGTACCAACTGAGCCAGCCAGGTGCCCATCAACATATCTTTTTTGGGGGTACAGTTCAACCCATAACATTTACAGGGAAGTGACTCTTGAAAGCAGAGTCAGATTCAAAGGACTGACCCTTGGGGCCGTGTGTGTTCCTTCACTTCTGCAAGGAGTAGGCATCGTTTGCCTCCCGTGTCCAGTGGGCTCAGTACTGGAGATAATGGGGCTGGCCAAATGGACTGTGAGCGTTGTTGCAAATGCTCACACCTAGATCTAGAAAGAGTCGGTGGGATGAGAAGGAAGCAGGTGATTAAGAGCGTCCTCACCTTGCACACTTACAGAAGGAAAGTAGACAAAGAGCGAATATGCAAGGTAGGAAATTCTGTGTGCCAGCAAAGATGGCAGGAGAGGTATTCAGAAGGTTCAGTGGAGGGAAAAGGCGATGAGAATGGCTTCCTGGGGGAGTTGGCCTTTGAATTGCACCTTTGTGATTGGCGGAGCTGGATGAGAAGCAGCGGGGAGAGCACCGCGGTTGTGCGTGCGTGCAGAACAGCGAGGAGGTGGGGTGTTCGGCTGAAGCAGGGGGTGTGTGAAGTGAAGGAGTGACAGGGAGACCCCAGAAGTCCAGCGGGAGTCAAAAAGTAATAGAATTCAGTAATGTTTATCACAATAGGAAAAGAACCTCAAGGCATCTTGTGGCACACTCTTGTTCGGCAGAAGACGCGATTTTGCTGTGTTCCCAAACTGTCTCTCGGTCCTGTGCTTTGTACATTTTGCCTGTGTGTTAATTTTGTTTTAGGTACGAACCCCAAACAGGAGTCCCTGAAGCTGAAGCGAAATTGGCTGTGCCTGTTGGCTCCAGAAGTACCTATGGTGGGTCCAGCCTGAGAGGTTGGTTTTCTTAGCGCCCATGGTCCCAGATGGCGGAAGTGGGGGCGGGGGGAGGGCAGCAAGAAAACCTCACCTCGGAGGCTCCCTGTCGTGCTCCATAAAGTGAGGATGAGAGTATCTGCCCTCTCTGCCTTATTGGGTTCAGGGATCATAGCCGGGAAACATTTTCTGACTGTTAAAGCACGGCCCCTTTAGTGCCCCTGCTGGGTCACGCCGGGTGGCTCAGCGTCTATTCCAGGTGGCTGTGCACTGAGATGTGGGATTTCAGACGCGGAGGGGGTGTGGGGGATGGTGGTGGTGGTGTGGACATTGCCTGCCTGGGGGGTGGTTCTCCCCCGAAATCTCCGAGTCTGCAGTTGGACTCTAGGGGGCAGAGTTGGAGCAGGATTGGGCAGGGCTGCCGGGCTGTGGGCGCTGAAGTCAGGTAGAGAAACAGTGAACTCGCTGCGGCTCCGCGGTGGGTTTGGACACTGGCTGGGGTTAGCTCGGTGAGGGGTGTGGGGTGACAGTGCGTGGGGATTCCGCTCCTGTGATGCTTCTTCCAGCATTTCTGTGAGGCAGCTGCTGACTTTCCGCGTTAACAGCCTCGTATTGTTACAGGGCAACTTCTCGTTTTGCAGAGAGCGATTCTGTGTATTCCTTACCTTGATCGACCCCGTGGGCATGGGCATCATCTTGATGAAGGCCAGGTTCAGAGGGAGGCAGTGGACTGTGTGAAAAGAGGTGGCACTTCAGAGTAGGGTCACCCTGGCTCAAATCAGGGCTCCATGACTCCCTTCAGTCTGATTCCTTTTTTTTTTTTTTTTT